CAGTAGGCAACAGCAACAGATTTCGGGTTCAACGCCAAACTACTACTGTCCATGATCCTTTGCACCTTGCACGAGACTGATCCTTCGCCCCACCAAATAGCTAACACTCTTGCCGCATCCAGGACACACTGGATTCTTTCGCCCGCTGCTGGAGGTGGCACCGAAGGTAGGAGATCAGAGACGGTAATCTTCTGACTACAACGACAAGATGACAACGGAAAGCCAGGACGTCCTTCCACACTCGGAAAACTTTGTCCGTCGCACTTGAATCTGACATGGAGGAAGTGCATCGAAGAGTCGACGTCGTAGTCGTTTTCCAACCTGAAGAACGAATCTCTACGAATTGATATTCTTCCACATGCAAACTTTTTCATGCTGTCTCTCTTCTCTTTTTCTTTAGGCTTTCTGCCCCTTTTCCTCCTAGTGAAACTTTCTACAGGTTCATCACTAATTTCATCTGGGCACTTGATCAAAAGATCGAACTGCACCCTCACTGGGTCTTCGTTTACGCCTATTTTTGTAACTAGCGCTGAGTTTTCACTCGTTTCAATCACGCGGTACGGTCCATCCCACTCACACGCTAGCTTGGGGTGTTTTGCATGGCTCCGTTCTCGCGGCATCCTCATGAAAACTCTTTCGCCTACTTTCGCCAAATAGGACTTGTCCACCGCCTTTTTGTCATCATAGTATTTCTTCATGCGCTCTCTATACCTTTCCGCCTGCTGAGCGACTTCATCACGGATCACTCGCATGCCGCGTACAAGCTCCGTTTTGTAGTCGTCGAGATCAATTTCACTCAGGCGCACCCTACTCTCCGGCAACGAGTTCAGGGGTATGACCGGATCAAAACCATACAGCAGGAAGAACGGACTTTCTCCCGTCCCTGCATGCGGTGTAACATTGTATGCGAAGACTGCATTCGGGAGCAGTGCATCCCACATTTCTGGCACTTCTATCTTCTTCTTCAGAATTCGCTGCAGAGTCCCTATCGCTCGCTCTGCTGCCCCATTCTCTCGCGAGTTGTATCCTTTCGTGACAGTGTGCTTAATACCAGAAATTTTTGCGAGTTCATCGAGCATTTCGCTCACGAACTCAGTTCCCTGATCCGTGTGCAACTGCTTCGGCCAGCGACCTCCCTCGCATATCCATCGCTGGAATATCACCTCTGCCACCGAGGTCGCTGTCTTGTCCTTCATTGAATAAGCGCCTAGCCACTTAGAGAAATGATCCACAAGTACAAGTATATACTTCATGCCACTGGCACTGAGACCCATTTCCAAAATATCGGCGCATACGCAATCGAACGGTTTGCTCGCCACGAAGGGCTTCAGTGGCGGCGTATTCGTTGGTCTGGGATTCGTCAGAAAACATTTCCTGCAGGCTCGCACCCACTTTGTGATGTCCTTTTCCATCGTTTCCCAGAAGACTCTATTTCCAAGTATTCGACACATCTTCTTCGCCGAGAAATGCCCTGCCAGACATCCTCCGTGAGCCTCGTCGAACACCTCCCTCCTTTTTGATTTGGGAACTACAACCACTGCACTCCCGTCTTCTCGCAGCAACTTCAAGGCACCTTCTTCTACCATGAAGTCTGCCACTTTCAGTCTTTTTGTCATGCCAGACAACTTGACTTCTTCATCCAGTCTATTTGCCTTCAGACTTTCCAAAACTCTGCCATAGTCTTCATCATTTTGCAGCTCTCTCAGCCACTCTGACCCTTCTACCTCAGACACCGAGCAAACAATCTTGTCTTCTCCTGGCGCCACGTACGCTCTCTTGACCACAACAGCACTACTCTGTCCTTTTTCAAGACTAGATGTCTGTTGCTTCCTCGTATTCGATGCGGGCTCTTCCGCATTGTTACTTGCTTCCTTTAACCTGTCATTTGGCGTAGCATTCTCCACCACATGCCTACGCCTAATCAGATTGTACCCCAGCGACGGGAGCGCATTGGTCCCCAAGATCAATGTCTGCCCCTTCTGCTGTGATACGTGCATTGCAACAGTAGTTTGTTCACCATCACATTCCTTTACTGGGATCTTCACCACCATCTCGAATTTCATTCGGTTGCCCGACGCATCGAAAATTCTTTTTCCAAAGTCTACTGGTAACTCCTGACATATATGGCCGCTGGCTTTGACAAGATTATAGACCGCTATGGGCATGATGGATATCTTTGAACCTGTGTCCAACAGTGCTCTCCATATCCTTCCACCCACTTCAACTTTGGTTGTGTACTTTTTCCCAAATGAAGAAGTCTCCGATTGCTGCGGGCGCGACTTGCCCATGGTTTCCTCATCCTCTTGGAGTTTTACGACGCCTGTCGCCTTACTCCCCACGTGTCTCAGTCCAGCTGAGCAATTCCTAGCGAAGTGTCCTATGCCCTGGCATTTGTAACACCTCGTTTTTATTTCTTTCTGCTTTTCTTGCCGGCCTTTTTCCACATCCCTCAGCCTTTGTGTGGCTTCCCCGTGCGTACTGGGACGCCTGCTCTTCTCACAACCTACATTTGACGTCCTGGGTGCCGCGCTAGCCGACGGACGTGATGGTGTTTCGCTCATGCTCATCGACTTCGTATTTGCCAAAGTCAGGTTTCGCCGCTCAATTCTCATGGCGGTATCCTTGAGGCTCGTATACGGATCTGCCCCCGGCATCTCCATAGCCACTAGTAGATGGTAAGATTCAGGCCAATGTACCAGCTGCTCATACAACTGATGGGCCCTCACTGTCATCAGAGCAGTCTCATCTAGCTCTGGGTATGCCATGGCTGACAGCCGTTCCAATAGTACGCAATAATCTGCCACCGATTGCTCTTCGGCCTTCTTCAGCCTTCTCAGTTTCCCTAATGCGACTACTCTGCTGGGCTGTGCATCCACCCTGTACGTCTCGGCTGAAGCTGCTACTAAACCCTCGAAGGACCCTCGCCTAGTCCTGTGGGGTAATGCCTCATATCGCGTTTTAGCCTCACCACTTAGCTTCGACTTTAACAAGATTTTCAGCTCTTCGCTAGACCAGTTTTGTGTTGGATATTTTAAGGAAAAAGACTCAATAAAATTATTCCACGAATAATCCTTATCTTTTCTCGAAAATAATCTAACATCTGGGAGCGCCACATATCTCAAATAGGCTCCGAATTGATTCTCTGTGAGTGAGATGGACCCTTGACTACTGCCTCGACTCATCCTCTCACTACCACAACTATCAATCTCGCTCAACTCTTCCAAACTAGACATCGATGATAACTCACCGGGCTTCATCAGCGTCCTCCCTGAGGATTGCCTGGATCTGATCGACACCGAGCTGCTCAACTCTTGCTGCTTCTTTCGCCCAGTCTGCAAAGTAGTTTTACATGAGCTCATCTCGTGTTTCAACCTCTTCAATGCTTCAATATCAATTTTTGATGCCTCCTTAGCGGCCTTACCTGGCACCGTAGTCCCTACGCCGCTTCTCATAGACTCCTCCTTACGCGACTTGAGCGACTGCAGTTCTTTACGCGTCGATTCCAGCTCGCGCTGCAATGACAACACTTCTTTTTCCTTCTCCAATAATTTCATCATCCTCTTTTTCAACTCCTTACAATTCACCACAATCTCTTCTTGCTCCCATCCTGTACACTTCTCAATCTTATCGATCATAGCTGCCTTTATAGCTAGGTCTTCCACGGCTTCTACTACTTCCACCTGCGTGGAACAATTCAAAGCCGCCATCAGTTCCTCCGCAACATTTTTCTCATTTCCCTCGCACGCTTGCTTCAGCTGTGTCAATTGCTGCTCTACCTCAGCTACGGCCATTCGCAGCACTCGCTCACAGTTCTCCCGTCTCGCATCTCCCGTGCGCCAGTACTTTGCCACTTCTGCCCCGACCAGCACTTCCACCTCTTTCACACTTTTGAGTGCTTGGTGACATACCTTGAGCGCTTCCAGCTCTTGCTCCTTGTCCATATCAAGTGCCACTGGGGAGTCAACCTCCATCTCACGCTCTTGCGGGGCTACTGCAACATGCGTGTTTACTTCGGCATCTCTCGCCTCATCCGACACCACTGACGCCTTCGTACGCACGTCAGGGTATGTGTGGTGCCAGGTTCCTTCAATCGATAGCAATCGATAGTTGTGCACACTTAGCTGCCACACAGAAGTGGACAGCGTTGACCCTTACCAAAAGGGTGCACCACTATCGATTCCCAGCAAGTGAAGGAATCTGACCCCACACTGTCTCAACAAGCTAGGCTCTCCTTGGAAAGCCCCTACTTGCTAGCAGTGAGTAAAACAACGACCACTCGAGGAAGGCCCACGGGATCGTTGCTAACCGACACACAAAAAAAACGAGATATGCGCGACCAACAAAAACTCAACTTACTTGTGCCTAGTGCTCACCCCTTGTGGTTCGGCTTGGCCCCCAAGTTGCGCAAGTATTGACTACCGCGGTTTAACGGCCGACCACAAATGGGCGAACACTAAGCACAATAAAATTTTATCGACAAATATACACAAAAAAAANTATCTGGCGTCTCGGCTTTTATAGGATCCTTTCCCGCCTGAAATGTCTTTTGCGCCAACCACAATTGACGCCAATAGATCACGCGCTACACATGTTCTACCTCACGATTATCAAGAACCAGGGGTTTAGGGTTCCTCACGCCTCAACACCCATGATTTTCCTGGAACTACAGTACGCTTCCACACTTCACCGTCATTCATTTGTCTTTCAATAGGAATGAGCGGTTAGTATGGTGGATCTCTCATACAGCGCTTGTCTTTTATTGAGAACTAACGCTAAAGGTATGAAATATTTCTGGGTCAGGATTGCTGGGAATTCCGCCGAAAGGTTGGGGTTATTCGTCTGGTGCCGTATTTATAAAACTTCAGGAGGATCGGAGAATCAGGGAGCCCGTTGTTCTACTACTCTTTAAGCCAGTACCTATCAGGTACTTTTCACAGACCTCCTGACTCCGTCAATTCCACGGCTACTCAGGCCCATTCCAGTCAAGTTCTGTACCTTGCGCAGGCTTCAATGGAACCAATTTGAATAGTGGTCAAAGGCGAAACTCTGCCTCCGGAAAATAAAGGTTCTTTAGAATGAGGGACGTAAGTAGTATGTGTAAACCGCATGTAAGTTTTAGACACTGTTAAAACGGCGGGGTTGTATCGGCGTAAATATTGTAGGCCAATGAAGAGAGAAGGAGGAATGAAACAGAAGCAGTAATATCACTGAGAACTTGAATGCCGAGTACCCTAATAATGTTTGGCCTCTACAATGGCTCCTTGGCTATTCAAGCCAGTACTTTTACGCTCCCAAAAGACTTGGATACCGTCGATCAACTTACAAACTGGTGCTAGTTTCAGTTTTGAGATTTGTGGCAACATACAAAATCATGATCATCACGATTTAAAAATCAGACGAATGGATAGCTGCATTCGCGACGAATGCAATGGTTTCGGTAACTCTTGACCTACTTTACTTTTGCTAGTATACTATATCGAAGAGTTTGGCGATTAAGCCTGATTGTAAAGCAAGGAGAGGGGATTACTTCGGATTTGGATCGCGAGACGAGATGGTTGCACGAAAAGAACTTAGCACTTGTTACTGCCCTACCTTCGGCTTCGATTAGGTTCTGAATAGGCATACTACACTATGAATAGATGAACACAAAACAGAGTTAATGACACGTTTTATTCTGATGAACGTTTTTTTCGTACGTGTACACACTTAATTTTGTCCGAGATAATTGTTCACGAATATCGACAGCCCAAACTGTTTTTCATTGTTGACGCTGAAACGACATTAGTTAGGGTGGATTTGTGCATTGTCAGATTTGTAGTCCAAGTAGCCCAGAAAACGAACAAATAGTTGGGAATAGACTCTTCAGATTTGTCGATTGAAATTCGTAAGTTAAAACCCTGTGGTACATCATACTGCTGAAGAGTCAAAGAGAAAGATGCAGGTTTGTGGTTATGGGTCTGGCTCACTTGCGAGGAAAGCTATTCAAGGAGAGACAAAGATGGATCAAAAGTGACATCCGATCACTCAGGTCATCCCTCTAAGTCCGAGGTACTTCAAAATTCCATTTCACTAGTTTGGCACCAACTTGCGAGGAGTTACAGGAAAAGGCTTCAAGCCATTCGATTCACCTCGTGAACATCATGTGTCACCTACCACGCAGGTGAGCGAACTGCTCATTGTGTATGCGTTCAATTTGGCCCATATCCTCGTTCGTTTGCCTTTCGGTATTAGACTTTGTGAAATCAAATGTAGGGAAACTATGTGCTCAAGGTCTTTGATATGATCGAATTCTTGAAAGCCCGTGAGCTAGCAAAAATGTGATCATAGTATCCAGAATGGATTGCATGAGCACATGTTCCGCTTTAACGGAATGATATGGTCGTCTCTAAAACCCCATCTGAGCATAAACAAGTCTCGCACATTGGCTAGGCAGAAAAATTGGGCCAGTTCAGTCCTTGTATACAGTAAAACTCTCGAGTACATACTCCAGAGTTCACGAAGCTCCTCTCGTGATGAACCGGGCTTCTTCTGACTACACGAACAAGTTTTTCTCTCTTTCTTACGAATTCTGGTTTTGACAGCTTCGCTAAAATGAGTTGCTCAATACAAGGGGATTTTTTACACGAAGAGCGTGTTTCACCAGCCATATTCGCGTGCGGTTACGTTGCGGCTTGTGACCAGCTTTGCTGTTCAATGAAAAATCAGTAAGTAGAGTTCGCTATAGCTAGAATGTTTTTGATTACAAAATAACCACGATAAATCAGACTTTGTCACTTTTGGGTAGTAACGCGACGCAGCCGCACGTGGCTATGGGGTGTGAGGCGCATGCAGAGTACCTGCTGAATTTGCTGGCAAGTTGAAAGTCAGACAAAAGTACGTAAGTGCTACTTAATTTCGAGTAAATAAGTTGCTTCAAATGATTATCATCGAACTGTTCTCCGATTTCCATAGCCTGAAAGTTTCATTGATAAGGTCAGCATCCGAAAATTAAGACTACAAAATTTCAAAGCAATGAATATTATTTACCTTTAATAAGTAATTAAGAGCTTTCTTACAATCACCAAGAAGAAAATACGAGTCTCCAATATAATAATACGCTGTTGCTAACTTTCGCTTATACCCAAGTTTACTGAATCCCTCACTGCATTGCCTGCAAAATGCAGAATCAGCGAGGACCTTCTTAACCTCGTGGTTGTTTATCTGAAGTGATTCGCGGAGCTTAGCGGTCACATGGATGCAACACGGTACGGAGCCCAACTTGTTCTTTATTTGACTTCGCCTTCCACTTCGCCTCCCTCTACCCAGAGCCGAGAGGGAGGAGATGGGGGTTGACTAACGCTGGCTTTATACTGCAGTTGGACTTTAGACTTCCCCTCTCCCGCTCCATATTCTCACACTCTCCAGGCGGAAATCTCACAGCAGGCCTTCTATATCGTAAGGTCCCGGAATTAAATTTTGACCATGCTTTACTGCTTTCCTGATTACCCAACAAGCTTAGTAACCGCCCTCCAGTGCGAACTCCTTTCCCTTTCTTCAAATTAGTTCAAGAACGATGTCAGATAAAGAATCAGCTGATGCAAATTTTTCCTTCTTATGTGAATAGAGTTGCCTACGTGTAGAATTTCACAGAGTTTCTGAGATCCATTATAATCGTTGACAGACCCAAATCCAATCTCAAGGTACCCAGTCTGTAGTCCAAATCCTTTTCTTCCTAAAACTGATGAAGTTTTCCGAGAGACATTAACTCTTGCTAGTTCTGTGGCTGAATTCTGCCCGGAAAGAGGCAGGTGGGGGTTCAGATTCCCACTAGCCAATCGATTTTGCCAATACATCAAAATTCGGGTGACACCTCCTAGTTTGATTTTTATTGTTTCGAGGTGTTGAAAAGTTGTATACCTCAAATGAATCTGATTCCAAAAGATGGTACTTTGCGCGGAAGTAATACTGTGATGCCAACGTGAAATAGCCGTTAGATTTACAATCCTGAATGCTTCTCAAACATGGTTGGTATGAGTTCACCGATGATGAAGGAAAGGAAGGAAGGACAAGCGGGAAACCTCGTCCTGGCTTTTCTCCGCTAGCTCCACGTGGTGAGTGGCATAGAATATGCCTTCTCTGAATGAGTGACGTTTCCTGAAGACGTCGGCCAGTCGCCCGCACACATAGGCTTCGGTCACAGGATCCACCATCGACCTTGATGTATCATGCTTTGTATATTTACTTTAACCAACTGCTGTAGAAGGTCAGATTCAGTCTGCATCTCAACCGCCGCTATGAAGCTGTGGACCAGGGAATAGACAACGATTTTATGCGCAGGCAAATCTTATCCCTAGAATACTGATCGGGCTGCCGTGCTGGTAACGTGGCAGATGACAAAACAGAGAAGAAGCGTTGATGGAGGGCTACTGAAAGGGAATCGGTTGTTCTGACTAGTACCAGCTGATATTGATCACCCAGTTACATAAACACACGCATTGTGCCGGTTTGTCTGGTGAGGACATACCATTTTCAGAGTAAATCGTTCTATTACTTAAGCTCCACGAATATCTAGTACTTCTTTTGAGAAGCTGACAGTAGGATTCTACTACTAATAAGACCGGGAGGCCAACTGGTCTCGCGGATGATTGGGCAGTGGAGCTAGCAGATTGATAGCTTCTGATTGCGTGCTATCATGCAAGTAACATTCAGTTGGTATATTCACAGCCGCGATGAGTATCTCCACAACCTGAGGCAAACGTGCTTAGAGACCAAGGAGAACAAAAATGCGAAAGCAGTCGGGCACATAAGGGAATCCGGTGCCAGGCTGTGGGCTCAGGCCTTATGCCTAGTATGTCACATTTCGAGTCCGTTGAGGGCGGACCATCCAAAACCTTCGTTTTTTCCGAGTATTTCAGAGAAATGCTTGTTGCTGAACAGGCATTTGCTGCGTAAATAGATCTAATTATAATTTTAAGGAAGGGATTTCAGTGACACACCTTGCTATGCGACGACTTTTGCGGAACAATTGCATGCATGTGTCGAACGCCTTCAGAGCGAAGTAGGCATTTCCCAGTTCGTAGTATAAAATGGCATGTTGTCGGTCGTAATCATCAGGAACAGATTGTAGTACGTGGTTCAGACGGACTATTTCTGAAAGAATTCAAACGTTTTTTATTTCCAAGGCGTGAGATGCAGCCAAGCCTTGAAGTAGGACCGGCGTTTAGAGTCGGTAAAGGACTTTGAACGATACTGATACTCAAAAGGTAGTGAGCACTGACGTGCTCTTGATTGCACTCAGGCTTGTACAAGCCTGTTTAAGAACAAAACGGACCTTTTCGAGCTTCCCTTTCACAGCAGAAGTTCGTTTCAACTCTGAATGGATTGGCTTGATATTCCTTGGACGTCGGGCACGTCGAAATCGACCGGGCGCTGTTTGATGAGGTGATATCAGGTGGTAAAGCGGTGATTAGCTCGTCACTATTATCGGGTCTGTACTGCTGTACCACTGGAACGTCCTTTGAGTAGAAGTCGACGACGCTGGAGGTCTCCTCTTTGGATGTGGTGAATGGTGGTTTCTTTCTAAAGAGCTGAGAGAGCCGTTTGACGAAGAACATAAAAAACCTCGGTGAGTAAGCTGAAGAATGACAAGATGAGTAGAAGAGGATGATCCGGTAAATGAACCACATTCTATGTATCGGGAATGAAAAGCTCTTTATCACCACACAATCACTATGTATGATAAAGTAGTAGTATCACCACACAATCCCTGGGAATGAAAGTAATAGCTATCCAATGAAGAGTTGGCAACAAATCCTCTCGAAATTGTCCATCTAAAACTGGGGCATCATTGGGCAGGTTGGGCTCTCTGAATAAACTTTTAGCCTTATTCCTTGATCAGGAATCGCTACGCTGAGCTTGAAGGATTTTCCTGGCACTCTCTTCTACTGGTATCACGTGGAGAAATTTGGGCACAGGTGATTATAGCTCCTTTTCTATAAGGCCTTCCTTACTGGTAAACTGCTTGGATAATGCAGTTACATTTACTGTTGAACAACGATATTCCGATGGACCCACTCCTGCGGCAAGTTTTCAAAACTTACCTTACAGACAACAAATGGCTGGAGCTGGAAAAAAATTGTTTGAAAGGTTTTTTGTTTCCATGGTTTTATTGGTATTCTGTTCTGCCGTCCATCTCCCATAATGGTCCCTGCCCCTGGTCTAATTCACAGTGTGAAACAAGTTCAACTGGACGACCTTGTCAATCGCAGATTCTATTTCATTTCGCTTCTCTACAAACAATTCTTACATCTAACGTACGATTGAGGGTACATGTGTTATCACAGTCTCCCTAAACACAATTACATTGATTCTAGTCGTCCGTTTCTCTTGATGGTTTGGTAATTGGCCTGAGCGGGTAAAACGGCTGAAGGAACATGAACTATAAATATCACTCTTTGGCCGATAAAATAGCGAAGTATGTGGTCCCGAGTCGCTACTATGGCGTATGGCATAGACTTCACAACCCTGTGCTTTTTTCAGTAAGAGATCGCATAAAAACTCTACGATTTACTTGATGAGCTCCCTTTGTGGACCTCCGGCGAAGGTTTGGCTGCGGAACTGTTCCATTCTTTGATAGCGTATGTGTTAGTCGGGCAGATATAGCAATCTAGCCATGTCATCCAGAAGACTGGAACTCGGAGATCATTTCTTCAGTTCAATTTCCCTACCAATGCAACGGCATTTTACCTTACCTTCAGCTCCCATATCTTACATAAAGAAAAACCACCGCTGAGAAAAAATAGCGAATACTAACGATCCCTAAACTTGTATCTTACTTAAATCTTTGAAGCGAGGACAGCGTAATGAACCACTCCACTGCGGCAAAGTGATGTGGAATGGAAAAAGATATCGCGCAGCGAACATTACGCAAGATCAGTTCAGATCCTTTTATGAAGCCTGTAGTGGGACGACTCTGCCAACTCTGGATTTAAAGAAACGGCCAGTCGAGAATGATTGACCAATGTCGTGAATAAAATGTAGCAATTGAGAATATGTAGGAGAGTGCGTTGGAATGAGTTCGAGAGGAAAAAAATCTACTTATTCCAAAGTTCCACAAGTTTTTGAAGTCTGTAGACGAAAAATTGTTTTGATTGCATGTGTAACCAATTTCGCATCACTACATTGACCTCTTCGTTGCTTGAAGGTCCCCTTCTTAAGGTTACTTGCATCGGTCACCTTTCACTATGTTCAACTTGCACTCAAGGAACTATGACCATTGATTTCACATCTTGCGCATTATAAGTAATAGGGTATCGGATGCGTTCAGAGGCAGCAAAGCAGTGAGTATCCACGATACATGGTCGGAGGTTGGGTTAGGTGACGAATATATGAGCTAAAGACCGACTAAAGAGAAGAGTCCCTAATTTCCCGTTCCAAATGCCTAGAAACCCTATGATTGCCGTATCCATTAGTTTGACCTGAATGCTGGCCGGCTCAAACCTGCTTTGTTGATGGAGGACTCCTTCATAAGCTCTCTTCTTCAGAACTGACCAAAACCAATGGCTTGTCATTCATGTTGACATTTCAGAGCGAAAATTCCCTGAAATCGTTAGTTTTAAAGATAATATAAGAGTGAGAAAAATGGTACCTAAACTGCCAGCGTAATGTCTTGAGACACCTATACGGAGAAAGTTAAGGAAACGTTACCACCAAAGGTTGGATATTTTCCAAAAAAAAAAACTTAAAGCGATCAACATTTTGGCGTTGTTGATAATCTGATGATTTGGAACAATGGATAAGATGTTTCTCGACTGAAGAGCTTCCTATAAAATCAAATGAATTCGAAAGGCGTTAACGACAGTGAACTAGCTGCAACAACAACAACAACAACAACAACAACAAGACAACTTTTGTGAGCAGTCCATGCATACTCACAGCTGTAAATAGGTGCTACGCTTTCAGGATAGTTTTCTACGGCTTCTCAGAAGCTTCAAGTAAAAACCCTGTGAAGAAATTCATAAACGACTGCGATTCAAGACAAACATTGGATGGATAACCACTCCACTAAAAATCAGCCCTGAGCAAATGGCACCCTTCAGCGGCAAAGAAACGATCTGGACTTTTGATCTAGAGCATGCTCCACCGCATGAAATGGTAGAGTGAGATTTGTTGGCAAAATAATTGGAGTGAGGACCTTGGAATGAAGGATCGGACCCTCCAGTTGATTTCAATGGGAAATTCAGGAAGAGGAAGGGAACCGCTAACATCCAGCTGTGAACGCTAGCTGCAGGGAAGTTGGTATGGGATCAGAATTGAAACTCATTTGAGCCACCTACCCTTCTGTTATGGCTTGAGTATAAAAAAAACTACATTTTTAACTCAAAACTCAAAAAAAAATCGACTGAGAAACTTTTGACTAAGAAAGGTTCCTGAGCTCCTGTGCTGAGAACAGAAGAAATACCAATTTAGCCTCATCCTGAACATAAAACAATCAGGCTTCGATCTGTAAATATAAATTCAGTCGTCTTTCAGGAAGAATGTTTGAAGTAGACAGAAAAATACGCATTTAGTCAGTAGCTAGTCTGATAGAACGCCAATTTTCTTTCGGCAACGGCAACCTTTTCCTTAACCCTTAGAAAAAAGGGTTTTAGAATTCTGCGACGCGACCTCAGTAGTGTTGTAAATGATGAGCTTGAACGAATATATATGATCGTGAAGAAGTTGGTGAGCAGTACTGAAAGGCACGTCTACGTCGAAGTCAATGCGGATGGAATGTTTCGCTGCAAACTATCAACAACACCGTGGAAAGAGACACGAGTGGAGCTTTCTGAATGTAGGTATTCGAGCAGCGTTGGCCACTTGGCCACTGCTTACTTCCAAGAATTCGCTGCCAAATGTAACCGTGTCGTTCTATAACTACTCGAAGACACGACCCTTCATCGCAGTATTTGTACAACCATGAGAAAGCCCTGCTTCTAGATGACACATCGCCTGCACACGATGCAATCACTGTGTAATGGTCAGACAACATTCGGTTCTCCATGTTTTCACACATGTAGCCTTCAACGATGATGCTGATTTTAACCGTCTTAACCGTTCTACTTCGGATGGGTTAT